TGCAGCATCAGCAGCAATTAAAAAATCTACTCAGATCTGTAGGAAGTTCTGCTGGTCTGCTTGAGAACTGTCTCTCTGTTCCTGTCCTGATTCCCCCTCAGCTTTCTTCCCTTACCACAGTCCGGAATTAATCAGATTGGTAGTTGATAGTTTTGTATACATTCCTGGGAGAGATGATTAAATGTCTCAGAAAGGCCAACATTTTATAAGAAAGCATTATGTACCTGCTAAAAAGATCTTGCAAACCTACACAAGTGTGTAAATTCACTGTAATCGCTGCTGTCATTTAAAAAGCTGTGAAAGTCGAGTCATCTTTCTCCTTATGCAGAGGATAAAAAGCTTGATTTTAATACAGTGATGAGATCCGCCAGATAATGATATAACCTGTAGAGAAAACAGCATTAGTTCCCCTCTGTCTGAGATGAACACAATAAACTAGTAACAGTTGTTTTGTTGAATTCACAAGTCCATACATGATTATTGTAAAGCTCAATTTCTGTTTACTTGGACACCTGTAAGAGACAAAAAGTCAGGTAAAGTGCCGTTTATTCTTATGTAAAACACAGTATAGATACACTAGTGATACACTTCTAAAAAAACTGGTATACATGCAGTCTCTTGTAAAGGATTTCTCAACCCAGTAGAATGCTATTTGATATTAACATCTGGCTATGAGAAACTGCTCTTCCTGGCTTCTGCTTTCTGTTCATTTCAGAGGAAGCAATGCTTGTGAAAGATCAGTGAGACTAAGAAGATAAATCTCCTGTTTTGTGCCTTCCTCTGTGCTGAGTTTATATCATATTTTCTTTAACATTTCTTTTTGTCTATCACTCCTAAATCTTATGGGCTTCATGCTTAGATTTTTTAATAGTCAGCATTCTAAAATCATCTGCAATGAAACAGCTAGCAACAATACTGCTCTTTAAATAGAGTAACCTAATGAACTGGAAGCACCGTCTGTGGAAGAACAACTGCTTCTATTTATGAGCAGTTAATCATTGAAAGGCTGTATTTAGAACAGTCAAGACTTGAATCTTAGAAATTTTATACCAGTCAAACAGTGTGGACATATGTGGTTAGATGTTTGACACCACTGGTACATCTGTTGGCTCTGGTATGAAATGATTGAAAATATGGTCAGTAAAATGGGAAGTCTTTTTCTGTCAAAAACAAACAGTAATGAACAAAACAAACAATCAGCAGTTAGCATCAATGAGTTATTCTACAATGATCTGTGAGCGGAGACTGAGATTATGGTGTAATATAGGAGAAAGGTACACACAGTTCAAGAGCTGTTACTTGTTAAGGAGAATAGGAATACAAAGCAACTAAAGTACATGCTGTAAGAAAGTAAAGTGGCAGTGTTTCCAAACAGCTGTATTACAAACTGTTTCTATTTTTATTTAAAAACTCCATAACATTTTATATGAAACGTAGGTACTGTTAATGATACTATCACATCTAGATAGCCTAGATCTGTCAAAGAATTTTCGAAAGCAAAAAATTCAGCCAGCTAAGAATGACAGTTAATAAGTTAGATGATGATATTAACAGACATAGCAAAACTTTCCATAGGAGGGAACTGATAGTGAAAGTTTATTAGTTTTCACATATTGGGCACATTTTAGAAAATTTGTTTAGAAAAGAGATTGGTTCTTTTTTTTGTGCCAAACAAATTACTGCTTTTTGGCTGAAACTGCTGGTAGATATCCTAGTTCTGAGATTAATTTTCTGTCTTTGGTGTCAGGGAGCAGGAGGCAAGGTACCCCACACCATAGCTGGAGAGCTCAGAGCCGAGAGGGGTGCTGGGGACATAGGGTCATGCTGTTGCCGAACAGGACAAAGCAACTGTCCAAGAAGAGCAAGGCAGGAATGGTGTCAATAACTGGGAACATTCACAGCATAAGGCAAATCCACAAAGAGGACAGTCTGAGGTTGATTTCAGAGGATGAGTCAGTGGGAAGGATCAGCAAGGTACTGGTTAGGTACAGGTGTATCTACAGCATAGCTCAGGTGATGGCCGAAGGCACGGGCCTGAGCTCAATTTCAACTCCTGCAGGCTCCATCAAGACTTCTTAGTGCACTCTGTGTGGGTATGACCCATAGTTACTCAGATGCACAATACCTGATTTGGCCTTCAACACAGGCAGCCAAACCACTGAATCACAGATGAGGCAGGAAGAGACCTCTGGTTGCACCTGATCTAAACCCCCTTCTCAGGCATGGCTGCCTAGAACAGGCTGCCAAGGCACGTGTTTTGGTGTCTTTTGAAGATCTTCAAGAAGGAAGACTGCACAGAGTTTCTGGGCAACCAGTTCCATTGCTCCTTCTCTTGCACAGTAAAGCACTTCCCAGTGTTTCAATGGAACACCCTGTATTCCAGGCTTCGGGGCAGAGAGAGGGGAAATATTGCATACTCTCCTGGTGCCTGACAATACTCCAGTGCATGTTCATGTAGGCTGCTGAGTGACTTGATGACAATTTTGTCTGTTGGCACCAAGAGTGTGAAATTGCGGCATACATTTCAGTCGTTCTCAGCATTTTGCTTACTGGGATGTTCTGTGTTTCCATGCTTGCATCCCTTTGCAAATCAGTAGGATTTATATCTGTTTTTCCCTTCTGATGGAGATCTCCTTTGAGAACTCAGAATTCAGAAACTTCCAATGCCGTGTTTGCTTTTCATAGAAACTCATGGGCTTTCAGTATTATGTGCTAAACAGCATGAGGTTTCTTAATCAGCAGGTCAGAAGAAAAATAGTGCTAAAATCAATATTTATTAAAGTTTAAATAGTAATAAGCAAAAGAAGGACTTTGCAGAATATTCTCTGTCTGAATTCTCTGAAAATTGCTTCAAAAGTGCTTCACTTTTGTCTATATCAGGAGAAGGGAAACAAAAATACGTATTTCAGAAGTCATGGGTTCTATGCAGACCTCATACATCTTCTTCATATCTTCTCTCTATATAGATTTTTCTTCTGTTTATTGGGCCCTTTCTTTCCAAGCGTCTGTTTAACAATAACTTATTTCAAATCACCCCTAGAAATAAGCTCTCCAAGAAGCAAAGCTGACAGGGTTCTCCTTGGTTTTGCAGTCTGCCGGACAGACCTTTAGTATAAAATTGGAAATAAATCTGAATGACAGCGAAAGAAGCATTTGCCATTCTTTTGGCATTTGGAGCTTTCATTCTAAATCAGGATGAAACTAACTTCCAAAATGTCAAGATCAGCAACAAAACTGAATGCATAGTCTTAACTTAATTCTTCCCTTTGGCTCTCACTTCCTAATATGAATCCTTCGCTTCAGAAGTGACCTGGAAGGTTACAATTCCCATAGTTAATTATGGGAATTCTCTCTCTTATATGATTTCGGGTAATGATTTCACTGCGTCATTTAAATATTTCCTTAATATTTTATATCCCACATCTGTAGCAAAAGACCAAAGAGTGAACTGTCAAATCCATGATGAAGTGTGTCTGCATCCTTCCTTTCTGCTACTGCAGGAAACTGAGATCAAGATCATGGCTTGCTGGCTTTCTGCATTTGAACAGATAGACAAACACTACTTTGGATTTCAAATTTCTTTGTTGTTTTTTTTTCCTCTGCTTTGAATTCAGATTGCATTTCAGATAAACTTTGAGAAATAAACTGGTTCAAGCAAGGTGTTAAGATCAGAATTCTTTTCTTTTTAAATTACTTTGTCACTTGAAACTTAAGCTGAAAGCATTATACTTTTGTCATACTTCCAGTGGTTCTCAGAAAGTTGCAGTGTATATAAGAAGGCAGAAATGGGAGACTGCCTTTCAGCATGCACAGTACCACTCTTGCATATTCTGGAGATGCTATGCTGAATACAAAGCCTTAAACTCTGAAACTGCTTAGAAGTTCACCAATTCAGTGTATTATCAAATTAGCCAGAGTTAAATGTCAATTCAAGCAAGAATGTCAGTGATATGCAAACAGTGATGTTGAAAATTGAGGCTATTGCTTTTTTTTTTTTTTTTTTTTTTTCTATTTCTTTGCTTCTTTGCCACTGTTGCAAATTTCTTTGTAATTCCTAAGAAGAGTATGTCATAACTAATTGCACAGGTAGAGGCTTTATTCATTTTGTCTTTAAAGGCTATCTTGAAAATCTCCTGTGTCACTAAGAGGCAATTTGGAAAGAAAAATCACAATTCTTTACTTCTTGTAGTAGTAGTTTTACAACATTCCAGAAAATTAGATGCTAGTTGGATTTCTTAGTTTATTTTTATGAAAATAGAATGTATATGATTATGCTTTTTCTGCTTGTGTTGATTTATAATGCACGTGGTGCTTTTCTGTGTACATCATTCTGTCAGTTTTGTTCCAGTAATATTGGTTTCAGTTGTCCAGTCTCAATCAACTTCACAGAAGCAGAGCAATCTAAATTATATTAAATTCCCAGGAGCTCCATGAAAAATATGACCAGGTAGAGGAAAGACACTATTTTAAACTTCCCTTGGGGTGAAAAAATACACTGTTGCTTCAACCTCTATGAAATATCAGATAACCTAGGAGGAGAGATAAATTAGGAATAATATAACCAAGGAAATATGTTTCATTTGAAGTTCAATAGCAAAAGATCCAACCTTCAGTTTAATTTCTTCTCCTACTAAGAAATCTTAGGTGACATTTTTGTGCAGTCAGGATATTAATAATCTCCATCTCTTTCTCTCTCTTTCTCTCTTGTCTTTTGCCATCCCCTGCTTGTGGATTCTGTGATGTCTAGTAAGGATTGAACACATGCTACATACAGTGTTGGTATATTTTAGTTTAAAAGGCAAAGAGCCATAAGAAAAAGATCCATTGAAAACTAAGTTTTATTAGTACTTTTACTCAAAATTCTTTCTTTGTATTGTGCTAGTCTTTGGAAGGAAGTCAATCAGAGAATAAAGTCCCAAGGAGAATAAATGAAAATATCTACTCTCTGAAACATGTTTAATGAATATTATCTGCAGTTCTTACTCATTCTTGTTTTTCAGATGAAGCAGATCGGTCATGATGGCTACAACCCTGCCTCTGTAGCTGAATGGCTGGATTCCATTGAACTGGGTGACTATACCAAATCCTTTCTAATTAATGGCTATACATCGATGGACCTTGTGAAAAAAATCTGGGAGATTGAATTAATTAATGTAAGTTGGTCAATTCATAGCAGTGGTTGCTCCAAAATATGTTATAGTACGTGCCTTTACAAAGGAAAGGAAAAGCACAAAAGCAAACCGCACTACAAATACTGTCATCAAGTACTGTCAATGATTACAGCTTTCATGCCTTTATCTAGGTTGACTGTACCCTTTGCTTCTATTTGCATTTTCGTTGTCTTTAGTATGGCATTCAATCATGGCTTCTGCCTTCAGGATGCTGAATGACATTTCAAAGTATATTTTTATTGTTTATAAATTGTACGTTCTAACTTACAGAGTGCCTAACAACAGTAGCTCTTATAAACACACAGGTTTTGTCCACATGCTTTGGCTAAATTAAACTTGAAAGAAAGAAACCCTAAATGTAGGCAAGTTATATTAACAGAACAAAATATTGTGTTTAGTTACCACTTTTGTTTGAAACTTTGTTTACATAAGTCAGTTAAATTTGTTGCCTAAATATGGTCAACCATAAACTTTAAAGTGGACTGCACTGCGTATTAATTTGGAATAAGATTAATTTTGTACTATTACAGTGAAGAAATTGAGAGTACAGCTTTACCATTGGAATTTTCATATAAGTTTTGTGTCTGGTACTGATGTTGTTTGCTTTTGTAAAAGATAGATGATTATAGCTTTGGATCTGCTGTGGCTTTTGAAATCGAGTATATTGTCACCTTATCTGATCTTTAAGACAATCCCTACGTGAACAAAAGCTCAATGTCATATTTTATTAGCTCTTCCCCCAAAAAATTCTGCTCTTCCTTCCCGTGTAGAAGATACTGTGTCTCCACCTCTAATTAGTGCCTATCTGTCAGAGCAGTGAAAGGGCCACCAGAAGCCACAGGCAATCAGCTGTAAGATACAACTTTATTGTAGGGAATAGTTCTCAATTCCCTTCAAGCTAGAGAAATGGATAACATAAAAATGGTGCAAAGCCACGTTTCAACACAGTAACTGGTATACAAGTTACAAGCAGGTATAGCCCAGGACCAGTGTTTAAAAGAAGAGGTATTATTAACTGAAAGGCAAAGCTACTACTTGTTAAAATTTCTTTTCTTTCTTTCTTTTTTTTTTTTTTCCCTCCCCCAGTTAATTTTAGCTTGCATGCAAATGTAGAATAAGAGTAAGGATTAGTCTGCCTTATATGTTCTGTCTGTTGTATTCAGTGTATGTTGGAGGAGTATAAATGAAGTTTGGTTTTAATTGATGTGATGGGTATCTGCTGCTATGCTACTTATAACTGATTCTTTTTTCTATAAGTAGATGGAAATTTGTTAAGAACTGGGGACCCATTGCTCCAGAAGCTTATGTAGATGAACAGCCAGCACTGAGTTGAAAAAATCGAAGTCTCTGCTCATGTTGTGTAACTTTATTTTGAATCCCAACCATTTTGCCATAATCAATTCACAAACAAATTACCTTTTAGCGCCCCCAAGTGGATCATTAGAGCTCATTAAAGACACAGTTTAATTCCAAATTTATTTAATTGTTGAAAAGAGAAGTGCCTGCAACTGAAATTAACAGGAATACATTTCTGTAAAATTAGCATAAACCAAACCAGTATAAGTCCCTCTAATTTCAGGAGTTAACAGCCTGTTCTCAATTAATCTGTATGCATCTTGGGAAGATGCTCCTTATTGCAAATGATGGCAATAAGGAGCTCTTAAACAGTTATTTAAATATTTTTATGGTTGCATATATAAATTTCTCCCTGCTATTGGGTAATAAAGCATAGTGACTACAGCAGCCACTAAAATTCTCAGAATTTTTGTTAGGGTCTAGCCAGTATTTATTTCCTTTCATTTTTCTGACTTTTCTAACCAGTCAGTGGCATCTAATCATAATGAAATGATTGCTAATTACAAGAAGCTGGGGCTCTGGAAAGTACTTATTGTTATTTTGCAGTATGAGTTGAGAGGAAATTTTCAGAAATGGACAAGAAATTGGTCTGAGGCATTGTGCAGTTTGGCTTATCTCTGACCTGCAGTCCTGCTGCCTGAAATCGATTTCAGAAGTTCCACCTCTTGTTCAGGCTAAGGCAAACAGGATCTTGTTACAGAAAGTTTTCATAAAGGAATCCATAAGCATCAAAGCCACTCTGGAATGTAACAAGTGCTACAGATGTAACTTTTTCCTTTTAGCCATTGGTTAAACAGTTGAAGCCTCTGAATTTGACACAAAAGCCATTCTTATTTCTGTGCAAGGAACTCATTAATTCATATTTGGTGCTTCTTTCCATTTTGCTTTTGGGAAATCATTGATGGCTTCTTGAGGGGGTAGAAGCAGATTTGATGGTAAAGATAATATCTTTATTAAGTAAAATAGCATAACTGAAATGGCATGGGAGAGAAGGGAACGTTTGATTTTTCACAAACCTTTCACTACATTCTGAAAAATTAAAATTATTTACTATCTTCTTTCTATAATTTTAAGGTGGTGGATCAAGATCATGAAGTCATAGATTTTTTTTTGTCCGTTAGTAGTAAGACTATCTTTTGTTATTATGGCATCTAATATGCTTTTACTTATAGCATACCTCTAAACTTTCATGTGTGATGCTGAGCAAGGTGCTTTTCTTCCATTTCAAGGTATAAATCTATTAATTTATTAAAGCAAACAGTCTTTTTTTTTTTTTTTTTTTTAAGCCAGAAAGCAGGCAGTATATTCTGAAATTGTATATATTCTCTCTGCAACTGAATGAATCTGGCTACCTTATTGGCAGAGAGAAACAAATTTAAGATGCAGGTTCCTGCTGCAATTCAATGTCTGCTCTAATTTGTGTACTAGTCTCCTCTGGACTTTTAGGTATACATATATATAATGTGTATTCCTTCAAGCACAGTCAAGCAGCTGTTACTTAAAGCAATTGAATCAAACTTTAAAAAGCTATTAGCTTGTGTTTCTTGTTAGCTTCTGCCACCCTCCTCAGTCTGTCTTCAAAAACACTATCTTTGAAATTTAGATTCTATTTCACTTATTTATTTGTCATTTAGATCAAGAATTGTCCCAGATTCATTGCCTTCATTAATTTCTCAGGAATGTGCTTTCTGGGAAGGATAGTTCAAACTGTCTTGTCTTCACAGTATAAGTATTCGGGGTATGCTTTCTCCCAGAACTGGCTTTTCCAATACTTCTGGTTTTGTCTATGAGATTCCTTGGCTCACTAGAAAGGTCAAATTCTGTACTCAGATTCAGATACCATTTATTCAATGTTGTAGCTGTGTGGAACTTCTCTGGAAAATATCTAATCTGCTGGAAAAGATCTACTATGTTTTGAAATCCCCTAACCCATCTAAAGCATATATCTGTGCTTTAAACTATAAACGTTCTTCCATATGACTAATCACATTATTCTTGTCTGTTATCCTGGATTACTTATGTAACCCTCCCCCTCTGGGAGTCACTCTGTTCGGGGAGCTTTTACTAAAGAGATTCTTCATGCAAGATATAAACAAGGTAAAAGCACAGCATGAGTTATTTGTTGTCTAAAACGCACAATACATTGCAGGACTAATGAACTAAGCATTAAGTCACCCCCCACAAATGAGTCACTCAGTCTAATGGCGAAGTAGTCATCAGGTAGGGAATCTCTGGCTTCTGCTGCTCTTGGAGCAGGGTTATCTATGATGCTGCTGAATTGCTTTCTTCTGATTCCCTTTTTTCCTCAGGATTTTATGCCTTTTAATATGAGCGTTGTTATTCTAGAATCCTTCAGGTGCCAGTTTCCCCATCTCAACAATCTGATGCCTTCAATTTTACCTTTCTTATCTGGCATGCTTTTAGCCTGTGTACTCTCCTAAAGCTCCTTCTCACACCCTAGCAATTTTCTTGAAAAAAAAAAAAAAAACAAAAACCTGAGAATGATTACACAGCTGTGTTTTTCTGAAAGTAGGCCTTGAATCACAGATAGATGAATTCCTGGGAGGAAGGTTACATGTAAGTGGCCTGGTTTACATTTTTTTCTCCAGAAGTTCATCCTGCATAGTGAGCCTCTTCTATTTTTGTACAGAGATCTTTCAAATAGGTGATTCAGTCATTTCTTTAGAACTGATGTTTAACAAATTGTTGCATATATTCAATTACACTCCTGATTTTGAGCTTTTGGGGAAATATTCTTCATGCATTCTCTCAAAACTTGCATTCCTGGTTTCTATTTGGACATGATGATTGCTGTTAAGGATTAGATCAGAGATACTGGGGAGAGAAAATAGCCACCAATGGACTATCTTCCATTAGTTTATAACTGAATACTTTAGACTATCTGTAATATTGCCAACAAGTTGCACAGTTTAAATATGAACTGTGTGAAGAAGTGATCCTTTATTTGAAGCTGCTACTGCAGCCCACTATTTTTTGTAGAATAGTAACAAAAGTTCATTAAAATGGCCATGCTGAAACAGATCAGAGGTTCTGTATGCTACACTGTGTCATCCATAAAACTGACCTTAAACGGGTGATGAGGGAAGGCTGTGCACAAAGGATAATCATATTATGAGCTGTCTGCGCAGCGTTCTTCCAGTTGTTAATCACTTTCAGCTGAAGGACTTCTGAAACAGTTTTGTAATGTTACCACTAGTCTTCTTTCCAATGCTATTTATAAATATATTGAACATCAGAAGTCTGTTTACAGATCTCCTTAGAATTTCACTAGGAACCTGCTTCCACTCTGAAAACTATTGTTTTTTCCTACAGTTTCCTATTTTAACTGGCTATTTAGCTGCAAAAGACCCCTCTTCTTATGGCATTTTTCTTACAAGATTTGTCAAAACTTTAGAAACCCAGACAAGCAGATCATCAACTTTATGTAGTTTTGTCTGTTTCAAAGAGCTCCAATAAGATTTTGAGATGTGAGATACCTTTACAACAGTCACTTCTTACTCTTTCTGGTTGCATTTATCTGTGTGTCCACTAGTAGGATATGCTATTAAATTCCTGGGACAAGCTTAGAAGCCTTTATTTCCAAATTTGCACATCATTACTAGCAA